ATTTTAAGGCAGAAATTATTAACAATAGTAGCTACTGTGTACTAAGTACCTTGTATGTGCCTTCTAGTACTGTATTTGTCGTTCATGTATATTCACTAATCTTCATAATATCCCTGTGAAATAGGTACTCATACAGCTGTGCACATTTGAGGGAAAGAATGATCAATGAAACACTAGGACTAGATCTCACATTGAGCTAGCATGTGGGAGAAACAGGACTGGATTCTAGGTCTCTATGACTTAATCGCTGATATTTTTGCTACATTTTTTTAGCTGTCATATTGAAACCTTTAATAGTTATGTCACAAGAAATAAAAAATTTGTCTCTATAAAGGCTATAAGTGCCAGTCAAGGCACTGAAAACTTTCTATCTTTCAGGGATTTTTCTTGATCTGGATTTCCTAAAATGTAGCAGCCGTAAACTAACATTTCATGGGCCAAATCTGTCCCCTTATAAATATGTTCTTTTTGTCTTTCTCAGTGTTTTAAATACAGCCTGAATATCTTTAGGCAGAGCATATGCCCCTTCGTTAGCCACAGGCCCCACAACTCCCTGAGTGGTATTATAAACAGCGGGGAATTAGAGCTCACAGGCTGCTGAGTGTGGGATCCCTTCCAGAGTGAAGAAACATACCAGACACCGACACTGTTGGCAGCTGTGAGTCCAGTTGTCTCCACTTCGATAGAGCTTGTGTCCGTTTTGATCTAAACATTGACTTGTGACCCGGGTGTCACACTCTGGACAACAGAAAAGGTCAACACTTGGATTCTGGCAATCACAAGCAGTCCGTCGGCAGAATATCTTCCCATCCTGTTTAAAATTGAGTTAAGGAGGTTTCATCATTAGGGAAATGATGGATAGCCACACTATGAAAACTGAACCATGTGAATACTTTACAGAACACCTAGGAAATATTTTTTAGTCTTAGTTGTCCCCTGGCTACCTTCCATTTTGTTCAAAACAGATGCATGCTTGTGCAAAAACACCCTTTTATTCCTTGCCCTTGCCTATAGAGAAGCCCAAGTAAAAATGGAGACATTGCTAAGTTTAAGAAAGTCAATGTACTCTGAAAATTCCTTCTTTTCTAAACTTTTCCTTAAAAATCCTATGTCTAAGTAAGAATTATAACTAAACAAAGTAGCTATAAATACATATATGGTCAAAAACTCATTTGAGTAGGAAATCATTTTCTTAGTTAATAATATCACCTAACATATTCAAATACAATTAACAAATTTTATCTTTGTCCCACTTCTGGAAAGAAGTCTGAGTATACCTTTTTTACTGAAAAGTCAACTGAGGCTGAGGTAGATTAAATGATTTATCAAAGATCAAACAGGTAGTGGTTTTCTAAGCAGAAGCAGCAGGCCTTATGGTTCCAAAACAAATTTTCTTCTGCAATACAGCCTTTAGGTTGTTTATTACAAGGGATTATATCATGTGTCACCTTCCACCTTGAGGCAGTTCCCCAAATTACAGGCAAAGTATAATTTCTGGACTATTGACCCTGAGGATTCACAGTTACAAAAATTGTATGTCAACAGCACTTAAGCATTAACACTGAACATTTTGCAGCATTGTCTCATTTATATAGCTGTTGTTCACAGTAACTTCCTGCCTCAGACAATGAAGAAGCTGAAAATGTAAGACCTGCAGTTACCAGACATTTTGCAGCATTGTCTCATTTATATAGCTGTTGTTCACAGTAACTTCCTGCCTCAGACAGTGAAGAAGCTGAAAATGTAAGGTAAGACCTGCAGTTACCACTTATGATTATAACTGCTTTGCTGAATATTTATAAAACTAAAGAATCACAGGCCTGGAAGATATCTTACATGACACATAACCAAACCTCCTGACCTATACTTGAATCTTTTCTATAACAACCATATTCAAAAGTCATCAAGCCTCTGCTTGAAGCTGTACAGTCTTGAAGAACTCACCACTGTGGAATGCATTCAAAATATGCATTTCTGTACATTTTTGAATTTCAAAAATTGGACTTCTTGTTACCTCTTTGCATTGATCATACCTTTGGTAATCACAAAATTTCTAATACCTTCTGTCACGTTTCAACTCTTCAGTTCTTAGAAGATAGATCTATTATATTAGCTGAGTTGTCTGATCTCTGGGTAAAACATCTCTAATTTATCAACCAGTCACCATAGTTTTTAATTCTTTCACTGTCATGATCGCTTTCTCCTTCAACAGTTTTGAGTATTTCCTATCATTATCATTATGATAATCATCTATCATAAATTGCACACTTGTGCCATACATTGTGCTAAGTCCTTTATATGCATGATCAGATTTAGTACTGATAATTTTTGCAGTAGAAATTTATTTCTCCATATCTCAAATGACGTAGCTGAGAATTAGAGAACTAAATATAATTATTTAATAATGTTCTTTTTACAGAGTGAATCGGGACTCTTGGTCATCTTGTTTTAAGTGCTGTACTTTCTTTAATGCAGCCTGATTTTAAATTACTTTCTTACTTTGGATGTGTCATAGTGATGACTTATATTGAGCTTACTAAAGACTAAAACCTTATAAAGCCCTATCTCACCTTGTGTAAGTGGCTGTTTAGGGACAGAGATGTATAACTTGATGTTTATTCCTGTTGCATTTTACCTTGTTAGATCCATTTCATCTCTCCTGCCTGTTACAATGTTTTTTAAATGCTGTTTCTGCCATCCACTATAGTTCACCCTCCTTCACAGCTTAGTGACACCTGCAAACTTGATGGACCTGCCTTCAGGGTCTTCATCAATAACAGCGCTGAATCAGACAGGGCTTGCTGAAATAAGTTTAGTGTCAGCTAAAGTGGAAACCTTTAAAAGCTTTACATTCTTTATAAAGAATGAAAAGGAGACATGCTGGCTACATATATAATAACAGGTTGAAAAATGCTTTCCCTCAAGTTGTATGCATTGGCTCTTATTACTACAAAAAATGACAAGAAATAATAGTGTTCCCCCAAAATATCAAGGGATGAAAAGTTATACACATGTGTGTGTATGAACACACGTGCATAGAGAGAGAGAGACAGAGAGAGCAAGAGACTGTATTGCTATTCAGGTGAATTGAGTCAGAGAATTCACCCAGTTTGGACAAAGTGTCTGGATCTCAGGAATTTTCCAATAATAGGCCTTTGTCTTATAGCTCATATACCATTATTTTAACTCATTAGTATATTTTGCTTGTGTAACTATGGCCCAAAATGACTCCCTGGGGATTTATTTTAATCAACAGAAGCTAAGAAAAGTAATGGTAGCTACAACAAGAAACCATTTGATCAGGTCAACTTCTGATGGCACAATATTACTCTCCCCAAATGAAGAAGGACCAAGTCTCAGGAACCAACATAGCCATGTCCAGCATTCAACAAACAGATGAATTCTCTTTCAGAGGAAGTTACTGTACAACTAGCAATGAGACCCAATCAAAATGTCAGCTTTCTTCCCATGTGCTGATTATAAGAATAAATGAAAGTAAATGAATAGCCCCCAGAGTTACACATCTCATCAATTATGTGAAAATCCCAAATAAGCCTCCCTTAGCTTCTAACATGTTTCAAAACAATGTCTACATTCACTTTGGCTTTGAATTACTGGGTAACTGTCAAGAAAACCATTTTTATTAATGAAAATGTTACAGGTGGCTCCACTAATTCAATGAGACTAGAAACCAGATTTGGAAGGAGAATGGAGCCCACTGATGGTGAGTAATTCTTTTTGTCATAGATCTTTGGGGTTATTCCCAGAACGTGACCAACTAGGGTGGTTAGAACAATCCCCACTTAAATGCAAAAGATGTATTTTCCCATCTTTCTACCACAGAAGTTAAATGGTTTTATGAAGTTTTATAATAAAAATTCAGCTATAAGCAATTAATAAGTATCATAATATTTAATTCCTTCTGAATTTTAAGAAACAGAACATAGACTTTCTTAGAAAATAAAAAGTTTAATTTATTCTTATTATACCATGGAAAATCAATAGGTTTTATACTGTAAATTACACATTTTATTACTAAATAGTCAACACACATACATTTATTCCAGGTTGCAAAATATCACTACCTTTTTTCCTGCCAGATTTTGAAACTTTTAAATCAAGAAGGTGTACTTAGGTAAGATTATTTATGTAAACTGAATGATAATATAAACTTCAGGTTGACAAGCTGATATGCGTAGTCCAAATTCAGCATGTTGTCTGTTTCTGTAAATAAAGTTTTATTATAACACATCTCATGCATTTACATTCATTCTATGGCTGCTTTGACACTAAAATGGCAGTCTTGAGTATTTGGGACAGAGGCTTTATGGTCTGCAAAACTTAAAATGTTTACTATCTGACCCTTTACAGAAAAAGTTTGCTAATCCCTGATATAAATTATAAAATTAGGAATGGTACTCTAAGCCCATCTATTTTACCTTTTCACATACAAATTTATTGGACTGTGATATCCAATCTTTTTACACAGTATTAATTTTGCCTTTAGGTCACAGCCCACAAACCAGTCACTTATTCCTCTGTGGTTAGCACTTAAGGTAGAAACACTTCTAGCAGTCATTTTATCCAACTGTCTCATTTTAATGAAGAAATCAGGCCCCCGAGAGGAGAAATGACTTTTCCATGTAGAACATTAATAACAAAACAGAAACTAGACCCCAATCTGAACTTTTATAAAAATGACTTTCCACTATGATGAATCTTTGTATTACCAAGAGCCTGGAGGGTAACAAAAAATGATTTCAGATAAAAGGAGATCAGAAGGATTCTTAGAGACAATGGTTCTCAAAGTGTAGTCCTCAAACCAGCAGCATTAGCATCTCCTGAGATCTAGTTAGAAATGCAAATTCCTGTGCTCCAACCCCAAACCTACTGAACCAGAAACTGGGGGGTGAAGCCAGTAATCAAAGTTTCACCATCCCTCCAGGAAATTCTGGTACAAAGGAAAGTTTCAGGACCATCGATGGGAAAACAAAATAATCTCGTCAACTGGGAG